ACTGTTTAGGTATACTTGTGGTTATGCTTCTAGACCAAGTTCTTATGGGGTGTTTTATGTGTCATGGCGAGGTGAGGTCAGGTCAGGGTCGTTGATAAAGACTGGTAACTGCTGTAGGTGGATGAGTAATTGTATTTTTAAAGGATCCATCTTAACATTACTACCATAAAGACCAATTATTTTAATGTCTTGTCTTGTCTTGTCCTGTCATGTCATGTTTCCAGGTTCATAATATCCAGGACGAAAGGTTTATTACAGCTGAGGTTCTTCCCAGTGATGGAGGTTCATTCTAGTCGATAAATTTTATACCAGCAAAACTGTGAAATTTTTGTGTTGTTATTTATCTAAGTGTTTCTGTCTTCATTCCTTGCTAGTGTTGCCGGTATGGAGAGAGAGCAAGAGAGAGAGAGAGAGAGAGAGAGAGAGAGAGTGTGTGAGTTACCTGCGGCTGCGGTTCACCCTGGAGGAGGTTCTCGCGGTACGCCATAGTTACGGTAATAAGCCCTAACTTCCGCCCCTCTCCTCCCCCCGCTGGTGACTGGCCACACACACACAGACACACAAACCAGGCCACAGTACAGGCCACACCAGGACAATAAACTCTCATCAAGGTGGCCACATCATAACTAAGACCAATACAGCTCAGACCCTGCACCAGATTAAACCCATATTAAGCTAAAGGAAACTTACTAAGATAACCACAAGATATTCTCCTCAGAGTAATGGCTGGCCAGTACAACAGAGACGCTACCCATTATGACCAAAAACCACAGAGCAGTGCAGGGGAGGACACACCGCCACGACCCACACCACAAGACCACACAGGTGTAATAAAGACCCCACAAAGACTGTTCACCTGAGCTATTATGGCGAGTGAGTCAGTGATTCATTAACTAAATTGTCCTAACCACTGACTATATTTCTCACGAGGCTTTTATACACAGTTAAATGGCCATCAAACACACATTGCTATTCACAACTGTCGTAATTTATATAAGTTGGTGTATATAAATAAATAGAAACTTATACAATAACGTTTGTGTTTATTGTCTGAAAAGGATTGATGGTTCTTTTATAATGTTCTTGGAGGGAAGGTGCAGAGTCTCAGGTGGTCGTGTTCTTGGCCATTAGACGTTTAGAATTAGATTTTGATTTTGATAAAGCGTCTAAAATCAATACTGTCATTGTCACTCTTCATTGCCACTGTCACCGCTCGAGGATGAGAGAAGATAAAAGGTGTAGAATTTCCTTCGGTTGTCAGTTCATCAGTCTGACAACATGGAGGGTCATAGCGCGTTCACTTTAACTCCTAATATCAATACATCACGTCAGCGTTCACTTAAACGCCTAAGATCAATACATCACGTCAGCGTTCACTTTAACTCCTATAATACATCACGTCAGCGTTCACTTTAACTCCTATGATCAATACATCACGTCAGCGTTCACTTTAACTCCTAAGATCAATACATCACGTCAGCGTTCACTTTAACTCCTAAGATCAATACATCACGTCAGCGTTCACTTTAACTCCTATGATCAATACATCACGTCAGCGTTCACTCGTTTCGTATGATCAGTCCATCAGGTGTCAGTATTTACGTATCTCCAATTATCAGTGACTCATATATCAATATTTACCTGTCTTATAAAATCAATCCATCAAGGTGTCAGTTTTCACCTGTTTGGAAGATCAATATTACAGGTGTTCAAGTGTCCATTAACATTGTAACATGTGTACACCTAGTTCATATGTTCACTCATTCTTTGTTAACAATATCTCAAGTGTTACAATGTCCCTTTATAACACGTACACATTACCTGCAGGTTCCTCAGTACTCCCCCAGGTAAACATAGCAGTCAAGACTAATTTTCACCTGATATTCCACGGGCCATAAAGTGTGGTTGTTGGTAACACATTCAGCGCACAGTTGTGACCGCGGTGCTGCCTACTGCGCTTAATAGCCCACGTACAGTACAATTCCTATTTCAACCTGACATGCAAATTATTTCACGGTAATCCCTCCCAGTTATTCGAACCAATCACACGACACCTTGATTTATGGTCCGAATGTCGAGTAAACGTCAAAATTCTCTATCATTACAACAATTGGGCGATATTTTGGGGAGTCTTTGTCTATTGGGATTTTCTATTAATAGTAAACCAATTATATGAAGACGGTCACGCAGGGGAAGGAAACGTTTGAGGAATCATTACGGGAGTTCGCATGTTAATGTCGGCCCGGCTGAGAGGTCATTAGATTGCTATCAGAGACAAGAAGACGTGTTTGGCCGCGGTGACCACTTGCTGTTACCTCCAACTTAACATCGTTCATGTGAGGTTCGTCTCCTGCAATGAAACTTAATGAGTTATAGTCAGTGGTAGGAACTAGAGGAGAGAGAGGGGGGGAGGGGGGTTGGTTAGTAAGTGGAAGGGATCTGTTTTGTGGTGGAACTACAGATGGGAAGGGAGACGATGGTGTGAAAAGAGGGAAGGATATGGGAGGAATAAAAAAAGTTAAGAGAAAGGAAGAGGAGAAACGAAGGAGAGTGAGATAAGACAGATGTGGAAGGGATGAGGGAGAGTGAGAAGTGAGATAAGGAAAGGAGTAGAAGGAATGATAAAGAAAGATATGGAAGAGCTGTAAGATAGATGACAACAAAGAAGAAAATATAGATGTTGTCGACACTTCCCTCCTCCCAAAAAAAAAAACATGCCCCATCAGCTAAAAATTTCATCTCTTGTAAACTAAATCAAACTTTAACTTCCACAACACAGAAGTAACATAAACAAACAATCAACCAACCACGCCCCTACGCCCACACACGGAATCACTTCATGACATCGACCCAACTATTTGATAACTCGGAGATATTCACCATTCAAGGGAGGGAGGGGGGGTGGGTGGTGGGGTGGGGACTTTCAATCACCTAGCGACTGGTTGAGGAGTTGGGTTGTTAGGTCGTTGTTTATACCTTACTCACGACCCTGTTATGAAGCGTTCTGAACCTCCTACTGGGTAAATGGTGTTTAAGTTCTAATTTTATGTCACGTTGGTGGGGGGTTATTTCCTCATATAATCGGAAACATCCCTAAGCGTCGATAATAGTGGAGAGAGAGAGAGAGAGAGAGAGAAGTAACTTGACTGTTTCTTTAGTTTTGTTTTCTTACTTCCTTGACGTGTCTTACCTGAGCTAACGTCTTCTCCTCGAGTGCTGACAATTCTAAAAATTACGTGAGATTGTTGTGATTTACGGCAGCATTAAGCCACAGTTTCGCTAAGATTCTCGTCACAAAACACGACTTGCACCTGACAGATATTTTTTCCTTGTGGACACGAGCACACACATACACACCAGGTTATATGTATGCAGCTCACACACCTAATGATTGTCGGTCCAAGTGGATGAAGCTGTACTTTTTTACCCTGCAAAGCAAAGGTTGTGGAGGAAACTAGAAGCTTTCCGCAGCAAATTGCCAGGTGAAGACACCGGCGCATACTGGCCTCAACTCTCAGGGCCGTAATGCAGGACTAACACCCATAGACTCTCGACTCTATTGTCCAAAGCCACATAGCACCTTCCGCCAGCCAGTCCCCGTGTGGGGAGAAAACGAGGATAGACAGTGCTATCCTCGGCAACATGAAAGGCGAGGATCCTTCTCAAGCTAACGAGAGCCTCGACCAGACGGCTGTCCGTTGTGAGCAGAGTGTTGCCCCGGGCCCTCATATATTCAACATTATTGCACGCAAGTCCCGCCAGCGTTGACAGGCTCTGAACACGCTACACTGAACAAAGCAACATTGCCAACGTTCACTAATGTCCATCTCAACCCAGCTCATAACATGTCATCTTATCAAACGTTACAGCTTGTTCTTGTTCCATCCCTGATGTAATCGACTAATATCTTGTCATTCAAAATTCCCCCTTAAGTGAGGTGAAGTCTAAATGTAAGAGCGAGTGTGGTGGTGGTGGTGGTGGTAGTGACTGTGGTGTTAGTAGTGGTAGTGGTGGTGGTGGTGGTGGTGGTGGTGGTAGCGGGGCGCGAGGTCTGGTTGGACGTCGGGGCGGCCAGTGAGCGAGCCGTGTAAGGGGGACACAGAGGCATTACCAGGCGGGATGGTGCGTGATTGGGGGCTCGTTTACGGCCGCCACTACGGACACGGGAATTTTTACGGGTGCTGGATAGGGGATACGGGAAGCCAGTCACAGATCCCGCCAGTAAGGGGAGGGAATGGAACAAGTCAAAGAAAACTGACCGGGTACGAACTGATTCAATAATTACCTGCAGACGATAGCGGACCTGGGGGAAGTCTTTGAGGATCTGGAATTCATATCCGACAGAAAGAATGATTATAATGTACCCGTAACTTTTATTAGTGGTGCAAACACACGCAATACTGAACCCTTGAGAGAACGTGGTTGAAAATAGAGATTCAGACGCCCAACCCCCCCCCTCCCCTCCCCTCGCCCAAATTTAATGGAAGAGTGAGGAAAATGGATGACGATTAGTGTAATGTTGCAGAATGAGTGTCAGGTCGTGAGGGAAAGCTGTCCCGGGTCAGCTAAAACATAAGACATATTTATAAACTGTCTCCTATGGTGGTGAAAAAAGGAAGGAGGGGAAAGATTGACCCAACACAATGTAGAGTGATAAAAGATTCTTACTTGAGGGGAGAAGGAAGAGAATATGTTGTGGTCTCTCTTCTTTGTTAGTTAATGGTAGTGGATGTGTGATTCAATGGACACACACACACACACACACACACACACACACACACACACACACACACACACACGAAGACGAAAAAAAAAAGATGAAATATTGCCTATGGTTCCAAGTTTTTTTGTTCTTGTTTCGTACAATATGTAAACAACGAATCTTCACTACGTAACACTGATCAAGTATGTGTGAGACAACAATAACAAACAACAGCTGTATAAGGTATTGGCTGAGGGGATATAGAGGAAATAGTGAACATTATAAGGAGTTTAATTACCTGTGTTTCAGAGAGGTTGAGGGTCTGGGCCAGCTGTTTCCTCTCGGCTCCCACCACATACTGGTTCTTCTCAAACGCTTGTTCAAGTTTCAGCAGCTGACTCGGGCTGAACGCCGTCCGGATCCTCTTGGGCTTCCTGAAGGGCAACAGGAACGACGGGAAGTCTGGCCCTGGGAAAACAAAGACCAGATTTTCGTTATTGTTATGGGGAATTTTTATTGGGTATGTGTAATGATTCAAGCGTGTGTATATTTTTGGGTACACACACACACACACACACACACACACACACACACACACACACACGAAACAATAGAAAATATATCGCAAATAAAAATAAGAATTAAAAACAAAGGCAAAATATCGTATCCAAAAAACTGTGTCTGACATTCACCTCAAAACAACAACAGAAACAAAACAAAAACAACAACAACAATAAAAGAACAAAAATATAACGCATATCTTGAGAAAAAAAAAAACAATTATATTTACGTTTACAATACAAAGACGAATATAAAAAAAATCGATTATATTATTTTAGGTTTTGCAAAGTTTAATAAATCTTCCTTCGGTAACAGTAAATAACAACACGCGCTAATAATATATTCTGTGGATTATTTTTTTCCCCATATTTCTCACATATTTGTTGTATTAAACGTAATGCATCATAAAGCACACATTTTAAAATAATAATTGATGTTGTATTTTGTAGATTAAAATTCGGTGCGATGATTGGTGTGTGTATGACTGGGTTTAGTGCATACCAAAATCAGCTGACGTAATGAAGGTGTAAAATTGTAAATGAAACAAGGTAAAAAAGTAAAAAAAAAAAAGTGTGTAAATGTTGTAAATAAAAAAAAAAAATTAGGAATATTTTGTAAATGAAAAAAATAATAAAGGTGTGTAAAAGACGTAAATAAAGAAATAGTGTGTAAATACTGTAAATTAAGCAATAACAAAATAATAAATTCCTTTGTTAATTTGACAGAAAAATCAAAGTTCCTAGTTTAATAATAATAATAATAATAATAATAATAATTATAATAACAACAACACCAACAAAAACAATAATATAAGTAACAATAAAAATAACAATAATAACAATAACAATATACAGCACAGGTAGACTCGCAGAACAAACAAATACTCCCCCTCCCCTTACTACCTTCCTTTGAGAAAATATCACAAATATTTAACACACAGAGAGGAACAGCAGCTTGAGCATCTCTTCTCTCTGATCTCTCATTATTTACAAAAGAAAGAGAACAGAGAAAAAAGGAAAAAAAAAAAGATAAAAAATATTCAGCTTCGAGAGAACAATTGGTGGAGAGGAGGAGAATGACAGCAAGTGTGTTGTCATGTGTGTGTGGGGAGGCCACTGTGTGTGTGGGGGTGAGGGCCGTGTGGGGGAGGGCGAGGCCACTGTGTGTGTGGGGGTGAGGGCTACTGTGTGGGGTGAGGGCTGTGGGGTGCAGGTCAGGTGGGGCTACTGTGTGGGTGAGGCCACTGTGTGGGGGGGCCACTGTGGGGGTGAGGCCGTGGGGGTGAGGGCTACTGTGGGGGTGAGGTCACTGTGGGGGTGGGGGCCAAGAGGTCACTGTAAGAGGTTACCAGGAGGTGAGGCCACTGTAAAGAGGCCAGGTGGGTGAGGGCCAATGTGTGGAAGGGTGAGGCCACGTGAGGGGAGGGGGCTATTGTGTGTGGGGTGAGGCTACACTGTGTGTGGGGGAGGGGGCTGAGGGCTGTGTGTGTGGGGTGATACTACTGTGTGGGGGTGAGGGCTAGGGAGGTGAGGCTACTGTGTGGGGGTGAGGCACAATGTGTGGGTGAGGGCTACCGTGTGTGGGGTGAGGAGGGCGTGTGTGGGGGAGGGCCACTGTGGGGAGGGCTACCGTGTGAGGAGGGTTACTGTGTGGAGGGGTGAGGGCCACTGTGTGGGGGTGAGGGCTACTGTGTGGGGGTGAGGCTATTGTGGGGTGAGGGCTGTGTGAAGGGGTGAGGCCACTGTGGGGTGAGGTTACTGTGGGGTGAGGGGCTATTGTGTGTGTGGGGTGAGGGCCACGTAAAGGGGCAGAGGCCATTGTGGAGGGGCGGGACAGTGAGAGCAATTATAAAGGGCGAGGTCTCTTGGGCTTTCACCACCACCTCCACCACCACCACCACCACCACCACCCACCACCTCCACCAACTGCCAAACAGAGAGAGAGAGAGAGAGAGAGAGAGAGAGAGAGAGAGAGACTGTGTTTGTTAATGGTCTTCCCTCAAGCAGCACAGGTATAGGAACCACAAGCAGGCGCCAATAACGAGGTGAGGGGAAGCACCACGAACCTCTCTAATGGCGTTTCTTAAAACCCTCTAGGACACTATACTGACGATTCGTGATCTCCTCATAGCAACTTTCTCCCTCATAAATTCATTTCGTGAGGTTGTTGTAGCACCATCTTCTCACCAGGACGACTTTCCAACCCATAACGGTATTCACTGAAATCCCTTAAGCCTCTACGGTATTACTAAAGGTTTATAATCGACCATAAATATCTTTCTTCTTCATATTTTCAGTTTGGAAGTTCTATGGAATTTTCTGGAAGTTCATGAATTGTTGGGGGGGGGGGTAGGGGGGAGGGAGGAGGGGTGGGGAGGGGAGGTGAGGTAGGGAAGGCGAGGGAGTGGGAGAGGGAAGGGGGTTTCTCCTATTGCTGTATAGGTAAAAAAAAATAAACAAAATTAAGGCCTTCATGTTAGGTTAGTTTATTGCAAGTTACCTTATCGGGATTTATTAAGAGGATAACGTTACGATATCGGGAAGGTGAACGATTTGGAGGTAGTTATCGGTATATCAACCTGAGCGCCATAATCATCCGATATAGTTTATTATTATTGTTATTATTATTATGCTCGGGTGTCCACTTAACTACAGCCTGGTGCCTGGGTGTCCACTTAACTACATCCTGGTGCCTGGGTGTCCACTTAACTACAGCCTGGTGCCGGGTGTCCACTTAACTACAGCCTGGTGCCCGGGTGTCCACTTAACTACAGCCTGAGCCTGCCAAGTGTGTCCACTTAACCACAGCCTGGTGCTGGGTGTCCACACTTAACTACAGCCTGGTGCCTGGGTGTCCACTTAACTACAGCCTGGTGCCTGGGTGTCCACTTCTAACTACAGCCTGGTGCCTGGGTGTCCACTTAACTACAGCCTGGTGCCTGGGTCCACTGTCCACTTGGGTGTCCACTTAACTACAGCCTGGTGCCTGATGTCCACTTAACTACAGCCTGGTGCTTGGGTGTCCACTCTAACCACAGCCTGGTGCCTGGGTGTCCACTTAACTACAGCCTGATGTCCACTTAACCACAGCCTGGATGTCCACTCCTAACACAGCCCGGTGCCTGCGTCCACTTAACTACAGCCTGGGTGCCTTCGGGTGTCCACTTAACTACAGCCTGGTGCCTGGGTGTCCACTTAACTACAGCCTGGTGCCTGGGGTGTCCACTTAACTACAGCCTGGTGCTCGGGTGTCCACTTAACTACATCCTGGTGCTCGGGTGTCCACTTAACTACAGCCTGGTGTCCCCCCGTGCGTGAACATTTGTCACCCGTATGACCATTGCATGACTCTTTAGAAGGGCGATGTATTGACTCCACGGTACATTACTGGCCATCACTTGCTACAAGAATGTGGCGCTCTACTACCACTACTACTACCATTACTACCACTACCACAACTACCACTACTACTATTACTACCACTACGCTGTGATGGACGGACGGACTGACGGACGTATACAGTAGATGGAAGGATTGGCGAACAGATGGAAGGTCGGGCGTACGTGAGAATTCATAATAATAATAATAATAATAATAATAATAATAATGATGATAATAATAATAATAATGATGATAATAATAATAATAATCTCCTCAGCAAGTACAGTAAACAACAAGAAAACCAAATAAACAGGAATAATTTTTTACCTTTGTGTGTGTGTGTGTGTGTGTGTGTGTGTGTGTGTGTGTGTGGACAGTAAGGTGCTCATTGTTGATTCGAGGCGACCTGTGTATTAACCATTGTCCGGGAGCGAGTGTCTCTTGTCAGGTGCTCTAGGGGGTGGAGAAGGGGGAAGGGGGAGGAGGAGGAAAGGGTGAGGGGATAGAGGGAGTCACCAGCTGTCCAGGGTGTCACTTTCATTAGCGTGTTAGCACCGTATTAGCATATTACAGGTGCAACTAGAGATCTGCCTCTCTGATAAGGGTGACAATGTGGAGATGCTACTCTTGACATGGGTCTCCCTTACTCCTGCTTGTATATACCTGGCTGGCTGGACTTTACCTGCTGATGGGGTTAATTAACAAGGTCCTACCGACTCTCTTACTTGTACAGGTATTCAGTTGACCTTTACCTGGTGATGGGGTTAATTAACAAGGTCCTACCGACTCTCTTACTTGTACAGGTATTCAGTTGGACTTTACCTGGTGATGGGGTTAATTAACAAGGTCCTACCGACTCTCTTACTTGTACAGGTATTCAGTTGACCTTTACCTGGTGATAGGGTTAATTAACAAGGTCCTACCGACTCTCTTACTTGTACAGGTATTCAGTTGACCTTTACCTGGTGATGGGGTTAATTGACAAGGTACTCTGCATGTGTATCGGGGCTTTTAACCTGATAGACGGGTGAGGGTGAGTGTTTGTGTGTCAGGTAGATGTTTGTGTTTGTGTTTCTCTTCATTATGTATCGGTTGTTAGGGTGACTATTATCATTGTTTGCTTGTCTGTCTGTCTGGGTGTCTTTAGATGAGTGATTTTTCTGAATTGTCTGATTTTTACTTTCCATATTTCTGTCTTTTACTCTGTCTCTCTGAAAGTTTCTCTGTCAATTATTATTCGTACTTCGGTCTTTATCTTCTCTATCTGTCAATTCGTCTGTCTATTTCTCTCATTCTCTCACTTTTACCCTCCGTTTATCACTCACTCTTAAGTATCTAAATTCTTCACATCCAGGCGCGTCAAGAGCCAATATTGACTCTCACGCCAGCAACTGTACACACGAGTCCTCAGGGAAGTGTCTGCAGGACTGGACACAAAGGTCTCTCGTCCATAAATGTGTTGCCCAAGAGTATTATAAATTTGGCCATAATAGTGTTGTTGTGTTTCTAATGGTAACACTGCATGAC